TGAGAGTCAGGAGTAGGATGAGGGTCCATGGCTGTGGACGCCCACCCAGAGGTTACTGGGTTCTGGCTCAGCTATTAATAAAATGGCATATTCATTCCTGTTCTGCACTTGTCACTTGCGTGTGTGTGAAAAATAAGGCAGCATTTGAACATTTCTGGTCTTTCGCTATGAAACACTCAAACATCATCCAACTCTAAGCTATATTGCCTTAGAGCGTTCCAGGTTGAATTAACGACATGCTTAATTATAGCTGTAGCAAATTCAGATGCTGGGTTGCAGCAGTAGGGCTGAACACTTACAGATGAGCCTGGCTCTTAACTGACCAGTGCTTCTTACACGTTCATGTGAATTCACATGACTTAGAGGGTTTCCCTAAAATGCAGGTTCTGATTCCGGAGGTTGAAGTGACACCCTGGATTCTGTGTCTAATACGCTCCCTGTGTTGGTGTCCCTGCTGGTGGTTCATGGGCCACAAGTTGAGTAGCTTGCATCTAGGGTTTCTCTGCCCAGGCTATGAAGCATCTGCTGCTTCTCCTGGAGCAGCCACCTGCACAGGAAAGGCCAGGCCTTTTCCCAGCAGAAGCTCATGTGTGTACACTGAGGGACTCCAGGTCTCTATTTTGGATCCTGGCTCCACATCCTGCAGTGGCTGCAGGTCGAATCATAGCCAGAGCAAAGGCAGCAGCTGCCTCACTTACCACCCCACCCCACCACCACCAGCAGAGAATGTAAGGAGCAGCTGATTAAGCAGAAAGGGACATGCTCCAGCTGAGATCAGCCGTTCGCCAAGGACTCCTTTAGTCGGGAGAGGACAAGCACCATCTGTCCCCTGCTCAGCACCTTTGAAGTCTGACTCCTGCAGGTGATGGGCCCTGAAGTGCTGCCCACAGCAAACAAGACAGAATTTGCTGCCAAAGGCAGAAACAGCCACCCCTGAGCTCAAGTGGCTGTTGCCTGATCCAGAGAGCATGTGCTTAGCATCACTAGGTGCCATGGACAGAGACAGAGATGATGAAGACCAGGTTCTTGTCTTTGGGAGCCCACTTCCCTGGGCAATGTGAAGTATCAGTGACCCGTGGACCATGGCAGGGTGAAAAGGAGGCCCCAATACAGAGAAAAACTGCTTGGGAATACGGAGACACATGCCAGTAGGGAGAAGAAACCCCCTTGGAGAGGGTAGCATCAGAGCTGCATCTCAGAATGTGGCTAGGATTGTAGTGGGTGGAGACGAGAGAGAAAGAGAGAGATCACTGTCTACGTGGGGGAAATGTGGAAGGGGGATGTTGAGCACATATCTGTGGAATGGAGCGTCTGTGTGCCTCTGATAAGGAGAGAGATGCGCAGCTTACCGTGCCCATTAGCATCTGCTATGTGCTAGACATTTTGTGGACCTCGTAGTGGCTGCAGGAAGTGAAAGAACAGGAAGTACTCTTAAAATGACAACACATTTGTGTATTCTAAAATATCCAGAGGTCACAGGCAGACAGGGCCATGAGCAAAAGAGAGAGCAATAGTTCAGAGAAGGGGTCATAGTCCTTGAGGCTTGTTGGGAGAACTGTGAGTACCTAGGAAGCAGCCAGGCAGGCAGGCAGAGGATCCGATTAACCAGGAACTGGCCTTCCTATATATAGAAATAAAAAGCGTGGCCCTTTTTCATTGGTGTTCCACCTCCACGTTCAGCAACTTCTCCCCACCTGCCTGACACTGAAGGATCTGTTCAGTATCCGGAGCAAGCTGCTATGGCTGTAAGGGTGACCTGACGAGTAATAAGGAAGACTATCCAAAGCCTGGAAATAAGGCCAAGAAGGTATTTGTACGTCTTTTCAATGTTGTGCTGAAATATTAGCAGGCTTGCCTCACAATTATTAATTTTCTAGGAAAATATACTGTATTGTTTGACTATCTTGTTTACTATTAACTGAGGGCTCAAACTCTGAAGTTGCAAGTTAGCCTGCAGAATTGTGTAGATGCAAATGATTCCTGTCCAGTAGAAAACTGTGGGAAGTAGAAAAGTTCCTTTTAAAAGTTTCCTTTCTTGTTAAAGAGTAAATGTGCTAATAACTTTTTGTTAAGCCCTACCCTGTGTAGCTGTTAGACATGCCATACTTATAGGCACGTAGTACATTCTATGTCCTTGTACTTTAACCAAGATATCTGTGCTGGATGTGCTCACAGGCATGTCCCAGCTCTCCATTGCTTTTACCTGTTTAGAAAAGTTTTAAGTTGTTAGCCAGTCGTATTTTAGTTTACATTGTGAGGTCTGACTCCAGCCAATGGAGATCAGACACAGCAGTAAGGACGACCCCAAATGCGTAAGGGATAAATTTGTGTGTTTTCCTTTGTTCATTGTACTCTTGTGACAAGATGGCTAGTGAGAGCACCCTTTGAGTACCAACAAAAAGATAACCTCAAAGATGAGGGTTAATTGCCCTGTAGCATGTTAGCCAGTTGTGTATCTAACCTATGTATCCAAAATTCTTTCTTTAATAAGACTGTATAAACTCCAATTTTTCAAATGTTTTTTGTTTTTTATGGTTTTTAAAATTTTCTTTCCAACTATGTAGCTTTGAAACTACTATGAAAAACTGCTATGTAGTTTTTCCTGGGCACAGTGGCTTGCAGCTGTAATCCCAGCACTTTGGGAGGCCAAAGGGGGCGGATCACATGAGGTCAGGAGTTTGAGACTAGCCTGGCCAACAGGATAAAACCCTGTCTCTACTAAAAATGCAAAAATTTGCCAGATATAGTGGTGAGTGCCTGCAGTACCAGGTACTCGGGAGGCTGAGGCAGGAGAATCGCTGGAACCTGGGAGGCAGAGGTTCCAGGGAGCTGAGATCGCCCCAGTGCATTCCCGCCTGGGCAACAGAGAGACTCTGTCTCAAAAAAAAAAAAAAGCAAAAAAATAAAAATAAAAATTAGCTCGGTGTGCTGGCATGTGCCTGTGGTCCCAGCTACTCAGAAGGCTGAGGCAGGAGGATAGCTTAAGCCTGGGAGTTTGAGGCTACAGTGAGCCGTGATGGTGCCACTGCACTCCAGCCTAGGTGACAGAGTGAGACCCTTTCTCAAAAGAAAAAAAAAAAAAGGAAGAAAAATTGCAAATCAAAAATTAGGCACAAAAGTGAATATTTATTTAGAATGAGAAAAGAAATCACAACCCCTGAGTGTGCTGGACATTCAGCTTCCTTTATTCTGAGGTCTTTTGGGCAATTGACCTTGTATAGAAATGTGTCCCTCATTGCATGCATCCTGCCCCACTAGAACACTCTAGACTCCTAGCCCTTTATATCTTTCTCTTGCCTTATTGCTTAGGCTAGGGCTTCTGGTACTATATTGAATAAAAGTGCTAACAGTGAGCATTGTGTCTTGTTCCAGAGCTTAGCAGAATGGCTTTCAATTTTCCCCATTTAGTGTATTAGCTGTGAGCTTGTCATATGTGGTCATTACCATGTTGAGGGATGTTCCTTCTATACCCAATTGTTGAGGATTAAAAAAAAAAAAAATTAGGCCAGGCATGGTGGCTTACATCTGTAATCCTTGCATTTTGGGAGGCCAAAGCAGGTGGATCACTTGAGCTCAGGGGTTTAAGACCCGCCTGGGCAACATGGCAAAATCTCACCTCTACAACAAAATACAAAAATTAGCTGTATATGGTGGCATGTGCCTGTAACCCCAGCTACTCAGGAGGCTGAGATGGAAGGATCTCCTGAACCAGAGAGTTTGAGGCTACAGTGAGCTGTGATCACACCACCGCACTCCAGCCTGAGTGACAGAAACAGTGCAGCAGCCTCAAACTCCTGGGCTTAAGCAGCTCTCCCCCCTCAGCCTCTGGTGTAGCTGGGATTACAGGTGCAAGTCACTGTGCCTGGCCTGTTAAGGATATCCATCATGAAGGAATGTTGGATTTTATCAAATGCTTTTATAGTGCCTACTGAAATGATCATATGGCTTTTGTCCTTGATTCTATTGATGTGATGAGTCATGCTTTTTGTTTTACATATGTTGAACTATCCTTGCATCCCTGGGATGAATCTCACTTGATCATGGTGAATGATCTTTTCAATATGTTACTGAATTTAGTTTGCTAGTATTTTGTTGAGAATTTTTGCATCAATGTTCATCAGGAATATTGGCCTGTAGTTTTTTTTGTTGCATCTTCAAATGCTCTTTGAACCAGCCTTACCATTTCACTGTGTTTCCCTCATTAATGAATGAATCAAATAAAGTTTTCAACCTGTGTTCAGTACAGAAGTCATGCTTTTGGCCAGGCACAGTGGCTCACACCTGTAATCCCAGCACTTTGGGAGGCCAAGGCGGGTGGATCACCTGAGGTCAGGAGTTCAAGACCAGCCTAGCCAACATGGTGAAACCCCTTCTCTACTAAAAATACAAAAATTAGCCAAGTGTGGTGGTGCACACCTGTAATCCCAGCTACTTGGGAGGCTAAGGCAGGAGAATTGCTTGAACCCAGGAGTTCAAGTGGTTGAATTGCTTGAACCCAGGAGTTCAACCCAGAGGTTGAAGTGACCTGAGACCTTGCCATTGCACTCCAGCCTGGGCAACAAGAGTGAAACTCTGTTTCAAAACAAAAACAAAAAACAAAAGGGCCAGGCACAGTGGCTCACAGCTGTAATCCCAACACTTTGGGAGGGAAACGTGGGCAGATCACGAGGTCAAGAGATTAAGATCATTTTGGCCAACATGGTGAAACCCTGTCTCTACTAAAAATACAAAAAATTAGCTAGGCATGGTGGCATGCGCCTGTAGTCCCAGCTACTCAGGAGGCTGAGGCAGGAGAATCTCTTGAACCTGGGAGGTGGAGGTTGCAGTGAGCTGAGATCACACCACTGCACTCCAGCCTGGTGACAGAGCAAGATTCCATCTCAGAAAAAAAAAAAAGTCATTTTTTTAACTTTTGAACATTATGCTTACCCAGTTAGAAACTGGGGGCTCTAAGTATTATGAGAGAAAAAAATGTGAATTGGCATTAGAACTTTATGACAGGGAGTGGCCAACGGCTTGCAGAGCAACATGCCCAAGTTTTATTGTGACTACTGCAATACATACCTCACCCATGACTCTCCATCTGTGAGAAAGACACACTGCAGTGGTAGGAAACACAAAGAGAATGTGAAAGACTACTATCAGAAATGGATGGAAGAGCAGGCTCAGAGCCTGATAGACAAAACAACGGCTGCATTTCAACAAGGAAAGATACCTCCTACTCCATTCTCTGCTCCTCCTCCAGCAGGGGCGATGATAACACCTCCCCCCAAGTCTTCCAGGTCCTCCTCGCCCTGATATGATGCCAGCACCCCATATGGGGGGCCCTCCCATGATGCCAATGATGGGCCCTCCTCCTCCTGGGATGATGCCAGTGGGACCTGCTCCTCGAATGAGGTCACCCATGGGAGGCCATATGCCAATGATGCCTGGGCCCCCAATGATGAGACCTCCTGCCCATCCCATGAAGGTGTCCACTTGGCCTGGAATGACTCGACCAGACAGATAAGATAGAGGGGAGGCCTCATTCTATCAGTTTTATATTACCTGCTCTGCTTCACCAGGAGATCATGCTGCTGTAATGCTGGGTTTTCTGAACAGCATAAGGAAGACTTGCTCCCCTGCCTGATCAAAGAGAATAGTTTTGGAGGGGAGAGGTGGGGCAAAAAAGATGCAGTTTTCATTTGGATTGGGAAATGTGAAAATAAAATTGTCAACTCTTTTAGTTAAAAAAAAAAAAAAGAACTCTATGACAGACTAAGAGAGTCATTACTCAGTTCCACTGTTAAAAGAAGCCAGAGACCCCAAAAGGTAATCTTTCAGAAGGAAGAGCTCACATAGACTAATTCAGTATGTTCACAGGTGAGGTTTGAGATTGCTTTACTTATGATGTGTGGCTCAAGCTGTAAGTACTCCCCAGACATGGAAATCTTAGTAAACAACAGCAAAACATGTGAGTGTAACATTTAAAGGGCATTCGTCTTGGTGCCCTCATGTGCAGGCATCTGGACAAGGTGGTTGAACGTCATCCCAGCAAGTCAGGGCACTGGTCACATTGGTCTGTGTAGGACCAGGTCTCATCAAGGCACCATTGGCAGCAATGACAACGGAGACCTAGGTCTCATGCGTGCCTGATCAGATATTTCCACCCCAGTCCCTCTCCACCTGATATTTCTTCTCCAAACTGGTAAACTGGGCCACACCCATTATATATACGTGAGGGCATGTAAGAGATTTCCTTTCAAATAAGAATTCCTGGTGGAGTGTGGTGGCCCACTCCTATAATCCCAGCACTTTGGGAGGCTGGAGGTGGGTGGATCACGAGGTCGGGAGTTTGAGACCAGCCTGGCCAACATGGTGAAAACCTGTCTTCACTAAAAATACAAAAATTAACTGTGCGTGGTGGTGGGTGCCTATAATCCCAGTTACTCAGGAGGCTCAGGCAGGGAGAATTGCTTGAACCCAGGAGGCGGAGGTTGCAGTGAGCTGAGGTTGTGCAACTGTACTCCAGCCTGAGCAACAGAGCAAGACTCCATCTCAAAAAAATAAAATAAAATAAAAAAAGACCTCCTCAGCTAAAAAGGAAAAATTTGGAAAAGTGTGTTCTGGATCTGTAGACAATCATGGAATAAATGGCCAGCCCCATGAAGGAGGAAAGAGAAACCCCAGGGAGAATGAGCGTCTTTCAGTGGTCACCTGGATCATTCTGTGGGGCAGACCACGGCAGCCAGGTTGGGGTCATGTATCAGTTTTGCAATACAACAAATCATCCCACATTAGTGGCCTAACGTAATAAACTTCATTACCACGAATCTGTGCATTGGCTGGATGCCTCCACCTGCCTAGGCTGGGCTCTGCTGGGTGGTTCTGCTCCTTGCTGCAGACCTATGGGTTGTTGGGGGTTGCTCTGCTCCCTTACAAGAGGGCAAATGGAAGAACATGAGGCCTCTTAGGCTCAGAACCACACACCATTACCTCCATCAGGGTCATTGGCTAAAGCAAGTCATACAGCCTAGGTCAAGATCAAATCTTTGTCTATAATTAGGCAATGGCAAGGATTTGGGTGCAGGGAGAGGTGCAGGATTGGGACCATCATTCATAGGAGAGGAAGGGTTCACGTGAAACAAGTGCTAATGGTCCATGGAAGCCCCGACCTCCTGCGTGCTTGCCTCCTGCTGGCGCAGCAGGCAGGGCTGGGCCGCCTCTCAGCCGTACCTCCACACACCCAGCCAGTCTCCAGGGGAACCAGGACTAAGACACACAACTGAATGGCACTGGGCCTTTGAAAAAATAGTCATCGTCACTTCACTCTTTTTTTTTCTTCTCTTCCCTCCTCTGATGAAAATTTTAATCATTTCAAATGAGCTGATTCCTACAGCCCGTTAAATTGGTTCTTGTTCCACCTCATCGTGCAGTGGAAGTTTCAAATCAGTTTAATTACTGTGTTGGCATCCAGGGACAACACGACATGTCAAGTGGATTCTAATGGAGGCCCTGTGTTTACTGTGATGGCGTCTACAATTATCAATAACATTTCTTGCAGCTCCTGCTGCCCTCCCTTGTGAGGATGGAGATGAATTGTAATGACTAGACTGTGGACTGCAAGTTGGGGCCTCAGCACACAGACAGATAATCGCGGAATTAAACAACTGCAGTTACTATTCATTGGGTGTTACCCAATTCTGTGGTGAGCCCTGGGGGATACGTAGTTGTGTGGGGGTCATGGGCCAGAATTCAGACAGCTGGAGGAATTTCTCAATGTGGCTGAGGTCGGAAACCATTTCATACCAAATTTACTGGCACTGTAGAAAAGAAGCGTGTGTGTGTGTTCACGCCTGTGTGTATGTGTGTAAGAAAGAAAAAGAGGAGAGAAGCCAGGTGCGGTGGCTCACGCCTGTAATCCCAGCACGTTGGGAGGCTGAGGCGGGTGGATCACTTGAGGTCAGGAGTTCAAGACCAGCCTGGCCAACATGGTGAAAACCTGTCTCTACTAAAAAAAAATACAAAAATCAGCCAGATATGGTGGCAGGCACCTGTAATCCCAGGTACTGGGGAGGCTGAGTCAGGAGAATTGTTTGAACTCAGAAGTCGGAGGTTGCAGTGAGCCGAGATCATGCCACTACACCCTAGCCTGGGTGACAGAGCAAGACCCTGTCTCAAAAAAAAAAAAAAAAAAAAAGAGAGAGGGAGAGGAGAGAGAGAAAGTGGTCAAAGAGCTGAGTAATTAGAGGACACAGTCAAGCCCTGGCACTTATAACCAGCGGTCCCCCCCAAGGTTATGCATATGGGGGAGATGGAGCACAGGAAGGTGAACTGCACACACTCTGCAGTCATTCATGGCCACCCCACCCCCATCCTCATTAGCCAGTGGAAACTGAGACTATGGTGGACAGGGCTTGCAGCAGCCAGCAGGAACCCTGGCTGCAGTGAGGTGTCTACCAGTGTCTAGCTCTCCACCGGTCCACAAGGCAGGAGCGGAGGACAGTGCAGGAGCAGCCCAGAGTTCCAGTGCGACCCCAGTGCCAGCAACCACCCAGATTCCTACTCTACGGCAGGCCTCTGAGATTCTCCAAGTCCCTCTCCACAAGGAAATTGCAATCAGGACCTGATGTCTTCAGCGGATTCTGCCCCCGGGGGTAGTCTATTTTTATCAGGGAAGGACCCCGGAGCAGAAGGCTAAGGTCATGATAGTGACACAGATCCCCAAGCTGTTTATTCTGAATAGTAGATGAAATGTGTCCTCACAAATACTGCACGCTGGAGACAAAGAACATAACAGTTGTACACATATTCTCTCTACTCCTTCAGAACTTTGGGAAATAGATATTATTACTACCATTCCCATTTTACACATGAGGAATCAGAGGTTTAGAGGGGTTAAATTACCCAAGTCTGATTTCTTTGATCCTATAAGGAGTTTTCAGTCTTTCTTCTCTTTGTTCTTCTAATTCTCTGAGGTTAGACCCATTTTCATCCAACAAGAGCCGGACAAATCCTGGTGAGTCCTGTGCATGCATGGAGCAGGGCAGTGGGCTGGGGAGAGAAAGCAGCCTGGAGCAGGGCGGATGAGCTGGCTGGAGGTCGGGGGCAGGCTGTGTCCCACAGTTCAGTGCCGGGTGACAGTGGATACTCAGAGGATCTCTGAGGAGGCTCAAATGTGCTTGAAGGACAGGGCTTCCTGAAGCTCCCAGGATGCAGGTTTAAATGACAGTTATCTAAATCTCTAAGGGATGGTTGGCTCTGAAGGGCTGGGGAAGAGGGAAACTAGAAACCCGGACTGCATGCGCTGCGTCCCAGATATGTGGTAGGTGTCGTGGCTTTTACATGCGTTAACAGGTTTTATCATTGAAATTTAAAACATAAGAACGAATATACTTTTGGAAAGATTCAAACAACACAACTGTATGTAGAACAAAAGGTAAATTGCCTTGGACATGTCCCGTCTTCCTCTTACTCCTGGCAAAGATCCCACCCCTCCTCATAGGTGGCCTTTCTCCCACATTTGACAGCTTGGTGTGGCTTCTAGACCTGTTCAGGCAGTCATATTTGTAACATAATAACAGACAGCACATAGGAGAGCTTACTAGGCACCAGCTACTATTCTGAGTTTACACACAGACACAGAGACATATATTTCTTTTAAACATGCAAGTGGGATTACATTCCATCTATTTCTTGAACTTGCTTTTTGCTTAATACGTTTTTGAAATCATTCCATGTTGGTACTCATGAAACTGACTCCTTTTTTTAAAGTTATTTTATCGTTTAAAAAGTAGTGCATGTATATGGTAAGAATTTCAGTGTGAAGAATGAGAAACAGAAGGTAAGAGTTTCCCGTCCGCCCATTTCACTTTGCTCAGTTGTCTAGGAGCCTCACTCAATGCATATGTATTTTTACTTTTTTACTTAATGGCTTTGCAGCTCCCTTTTCCAGCTTCATATAATCTAGACATCTCTCCTTATTACAAATAAACATTTACCACATTCATTTTTAACTGCTGCATAGTGTTCCACTGAACAACCGTATCCCTCTTTCTTTAATCAGTCCCCTAGGGGTAGCTGTCATCCAGATTGTTACTAGGGTTTTTTCAGTTACGACAATGCTGCAGCGAATATCCTCATGCCTACATCTTCACCTATGTAGATGAGTGTTGGGTAAGAGCCTGCTCAATGGTCTCTATTAATGAGTCTCCTTTGCTCTCTTCAGTCATACATCTCTGAATTATAGTACATTTATTCAAAATGCTTGAAACGAGAAGTGTTTTGAATTTCCGTCTTCTTTGGATTTTGTAATATTTGCACACTGGTTGCATATCCCAAATCTGAAAATCTGAAATTCTCCAATGAGCATTTCTTTTGGGTGTAATAGTGCTCAAAAAAAAGTTTCAAATTTGGGAGCATTTCAGATTTTTGGATTTGAGATGCTCAAGCTGCAGGCACATGGCTCCCAGAATAAAGACTGCATTTCTCCACACTCCTGCATTTTGGTATGGCCACGTCACTAAGGGCTAGTCAGAAGCAATGCGTGAAACTCTG